CATGATCAAGGCAACTGTGTAGGTAGCAAGTACCACTTATACCTCCACTGGCAGGTCAAGAGGATCCCTGGCTATCCGATTTCTCACGACAAAAGATTTGGTAATGGTTGGGATGAAAACTAGGGGAGATAACTTTGAGTGTTAGACTATTGTATTAGTGATATAATCTCCCTGATACCTCAAGATCAACAAGAGTCATCAGAAGATAACAAATCCCTCCGGTCCCTACAAATTCGAAAGAACAAATCATCTGACTGTTACTTTAAGTCCAACTTGATGAATGTCTAATCTGTCTGTCTGTATACAAGAGTAGGTAATGAGCTATTAAAACAATACCATGGAATCGGGATTCGGAACTTTGTATTTCTATGTCAGGTACACACCAATATGAACAGAGTCAAAATCAAACTTGTTGCCATGGAAACAGAAAAGATATAAATTCTAAACACCCCTAAGTTGCAAAAGGCACTATTTGACAAACTGGTCTTTGTGTAGTCATGAAAGAATATCTATTAGTTTTAGAGATATGCTCCGGACAAACACGACACTATGAACAGAGTCAAAGTCAAAATTGTTTCCATCGAAACAGGGAAAAATCAAATTTTGAAAAATTCCTAAATAACAAAAGGCACGACTTCAGCCCTTGGTTAATACATGTACCAGGTTTGGTTGAAAATTCAGTTTTCAAGTTGTGCAACACCTGCCCCTCCCTTTTGAGACTAAGTCCAAATCGTTTCCAAGGAAATCGAGAAAAAACGAAATGGCAAAAGGCACCACTTCAGGGTCTGTTTGATATATATGCCAAGTTTGGTCGAACGGTTTTTGAGCTGTGCCCCGGAAACAAAATTCGCCACACCTTTAGAGACTAAGCCCAAATTGTTTCAATGGAAATCGAGAAAAAGAATGCTAAAAATCTGTAAATTGATATATCTGCCATTTAAAAAATAAATATATTGAACGGTTTTTGTCGTAAGAGGTGACGAACGGGACCAATCAACCAACCACAGGGTAGCACTACAGAGTCAGAATACGTCCTGACTATAAAATAGTACAAGCAGCCACACTGCATGCTTCGTTAATACCTGTATACAGTCATTAGATGTATGTAATACAGGTTTAAATTTCTTAGTATGTCTCGAAACAGATATCCCAGACAGTGTTACGATATGTTAGTTAAACAGTCGGGAGAAAAACATGGACTTGAAATATTAAGAAAATATTATTTTCTTGTTGGTATGGTTTTGTTTGGAAGGCCCAAGGTGTTGGTGAGACTGAATGGTTCTTGAATGAATTTATCCGTAGAACTAAAGATTGTCATACACAAACATGGTAATCTGAGGTGTCGAGTGTTTCAAAACTAGAATTATATTCACTGTTAAAGACCTCGCTTACATTAGAACCATTCTTGTTAAGTATATTATGAAAAGAAAAAAGACGTATGCTTACTATATTAAGAATTGGTGAGCTGTACATTATGCATAATATAGGGAGCGGGCATCGATAAGACACTTCGCTTTTGTCCATTATGTATCTTACATGGAATTGAAAATGAAATTCATTTTGTATTGATACGTTAATATTTGTTCAAAATATTTCCCATTTTTCAATGTCCATACTTAAGCTTATCCAATGGATAGTTTGATAACAATGCTTCAGTCCTTCAATTCCTGATGTTCACATTTGTAAATATTTGCTGTTGCACTCGTGTTCAAAATACTATCATTTAAATATGATGGTGATGATGTTGATGATGATGATGGTGATGTATACATACATCGTTTTCTGACATCGTTCGTATGTCTCGTATTATTGTCAAGCGGGTACTTCATGTACAGTGAGTCTGTAGTCTGTAGGTTGAGGCGGCATCTATGAAATCTGAAAGAACATCCACACTCCCTGAAGTAAACAAAGACCTACAAGTATACATTAGAATAAACATTACAGGGTGTATATTTCGAGTCGCTCGGCAAGACACTAATTGGCATATTCTCTCTCGACCAAACAGAGCCGTCACGCAACACCTACTTCACAATATGACCACAATCACCGAGTCAAATCAGTTTGTTCTTGTTTGTCATCAGATAACGAATCTAATCTGAATTCCTGAAAGGAATACACACAAGCTAAAGTCTAGGGTTACGATCTTATGAACGAGTTATTCCGCTGGAGGAGTTCACGTGCAATAACACTCATACCCCTGCACTAGTGTTTCACAATGGGTCGAACCCTCGTCAGGCTATTTGTTCCGGCAGGAATCCCACGTTTGGGTTATGAACTGGCGTCTAAGTGTTCAGCTGGGTATTTTGTTGTCACTCTGCACGCCCATGAAGATTTGGACGTCCTTTATTGTTCTCGCTTGTTGTGGCGTTTCTGTGTTTGTAAACAGTGTCCAGTCTTAAAGAAAACAATTAAGGTCGAGACTCCATAGAGGTCGCATGGGTACGTTTGATTTTGTAGCAAAATTAAGCTTACGGAATCCCATAAAAGGGTCATTCACATACGTACATAACACTTATATATGTTACAGCTAATTGTATAATGACTGAAATATTCACTTAGGCAATTCAGTAAACGCCAAAATATTTCAGTATTTTTACAATTATTTTTCCATTTATAATATTATTTTAACAAATGCCAAACATTTTATGCTCTATTTCATCACCCAGTAGCTGAAAATAATGGAAATAAAAGAAAACTAAAGTCAATGTAAATCGTTTTTAATTTTTGGCTTTTTATCATAACATAATCAGTTATGTGACGTTTTAAAGCCCTTTTGAATTTCTTAGTGACTTTTTGTCAAGCTGGCGGGAAAATAATTGTAACATGTAAATTTCCTGACTGATTTTACACATTGATATACATTTATATGTATACTGAAAGTTCGTGTTACCAGGTTGAATTTTCGAGATACTGATTCGTTTGCTGATTAGTTCAAAGGTAGGGCTACTCGCATTATTTCATGGCGCATTTTAGCAGAGTTCGAAGCTCGCATTAATATGGAGACACGTTAATTTCATGATTTACTGTTCTTAGTTCATTTTTAAGGTACTAAGAGATTAATTTACTTCACGTGTCTCTAACGCGTTCAAATTGGAATGTTTGTCGACAAGCTATGAAATAATGATAAAATATCAATTTTCATAACTCTGTTTCTTCGAAAAGTCAAACCTATGGTTAGGAGTTGACTGACGCTTCTCGTCTTGACAGAATACCAACTTGGACATGCATGATATTGACACTGGTTCCTGGAGCTGCAGCTATTTATTAACAATCTCTCGCAAGGTATTCTGGGTTTATCGTAAACAAGCAATGGTCTTCTTGTTAGTTCTAGCCGGTGTTAAGCAATGCTCGGTAGTTAGTATCTCTATGTAGTAACATGACTCTACATGGGTATGCTATCAACAGCGCTAATTCTGAGCAGACTTCTGCATGCCTTGGTATTTAGCTGTCTGCAAATATTATCAAATAAGTGTTATCGTTATTGTACTTGAAATGATCACTGCTCTGCTCGTTTCTGAGATATATCTGCATTATCTATGCTTTACTTGTTTGTTGTTTAACGCTGAAAGCATGAATATTCCAGCTATATGACGGCGGTTTGTAAATACTCGCGTCTGGGTTATACAATCCAGTGATTGACATTATGAGCATCGATCTAAGCAACGTATTTGGTTGGTTTGTTGTTAAACGCCGCAATCAGCAATATTCCAGCTAAATGACGGTGTCGATAAAGGGAAATGGTCACACCCAATACGGAGACAATAAGCACCATGTCGTCGCGTTCTCGTGTTCTCCGACTGATCAGACTTGTTCATTTCAACGCTGACAATGATTTATTGTCCCAACGTAAAGTTAATTAGCACTCAGTGAGATGGTCACTTTCTTTCTTGAGTTTGAGGTTTATTAATCTTTTCCAACGATTAACATGTTGGGCAATTAGAGGTGTTCACTGGGACCTTTAACGACTGTCGTCCATGTTCTCATCTGCGCTTAGACGAGCAGCAGGATTACGCATTATTGAGTGTCTGTTTGGGTGATTTGTTGATGAGAATGCGATGATTATTCGGCATTTCTATTAGCTACTTTAGAATGTTGACGTTGAAATATGTGCCCCTGCTCACTCTCGTACCAGTACGTTATAAAATGAACATGGCCTTAGTGAGTGAGTTGGGTCTAACGCCGCTTTTAACAGTATTCCAGTTATATCACGGCGTGACAGCTTAATGTTGGAGGAAAGCCCGAAGTGATGCAGGTCTCAGACGTTTACCACTTTGGTGAAACACGAGCACGGGTATGGTGCTGACAAACCTAGAAACATAATCGGGACGAAACGGGATTCGAACCCACAATCAAAGGTTTCTGGCGTGCCCAAGGGACGCAACTCGATCTGCACAGCGAATCGCGGCGATTTAGACGACTGGGTCACCCGTGGCCCCGAACATGGACTTACTGTCCTCTTCCAATAACTACACTCGAAATAGCCGCAAATATATGATTGACAGTTCACTGATAGTGATAAATGCATTGCCATATAAAAAAAAATATCAACATATTCGCTGTAACCAGAGACCATATAAAAGATGGTCTCTGCTGTAACGTAATAAATCAAACAACAAACTCACCAAATTTAATACAATTCTTAAAAGACGGAAACTTGAAAACATCTGCTTCGAGATCATGCAATTTGGGGTGTTGTGAGTTGTCGAGTGCTGTTCCAAGACTGCAGATGGTAAGAATAAATCAGCTCCTGTAGAATCCCGCATCATGGAGTAGTTTGCATCAATTGGATATTATATCTGTGGATTAAGATGTTACCCCTTTGGCCAAGACGACACTTTTTTCTGTGAATTCTTCCTGATTTGCAAATAAAATAAGAATATCTTCCAACGTCTCGTGCTTCATGTTTCGTGTGCGTGTGAAATCGACCGTCCAACCCATGCGATATGAAGCTTCAATTCTGCAATGTTTACCCCCTGACCTACAATGAACTCGTCCGTGTGACGTCACCTCCTGCTAACTTCGAACTGCGGAAACTTAGCAAAGAGTTTATGCGAGTTGGTGACACAACAACGTCTGAAGTTTATTTAACTTTCCTAAAGATTTCGGATTATACATGACAAAAGAAGTAAGTATAATGTGTTGTCTATCCTTAAAGACACTGTAGTAGTGTATGTTAAATGTAAAAGCGTGATTGTCAAGCGAAGCATGTGTGTCAGGGAGATTGATAGTGGCCACTGCAGGCTGTATTCTGTTCTGTCACAGATATTTTCAGTCCGCGACATTCTTACATCTTGAATAGCAAACATACGTACAGTTACTTCACGTTGTTTCAGTGTAAGGAAACACGATTTATGTATGGTTGTTTATTGTTTCTATATTTCCGGATATAAGGTTTTGTTACGGACTTGTATCGGCAGGGCCTACTCGGGCGTTATTGAACTTTATCCCCTGTGCTATATGGTGTGTGACGATCACTCCCACCTTCAGTTCAGACACTAGACAACATGTGGGTTGTGGTATCGATTGTGTTAAAGTTGAATATTGACCGGCCCTTTGATTGTAAACGAAAACTGGTCAGCAATATATATATCGAACAAGTTGTTGAATTCGCCTGACATTGTTTACAGTGTAATTTGGAAGCCTGATTGTGATCACTACATATCCTTGGGTAGATCAATAAGTGATAGCTAGCTATACAAGAATAATGAAACGTGATCATTTGGGGAATCAACAATAACACAGTTATTTTTGAAATATGTGTACTTATTAGTTTAAAATACCCAACAGACAGGACCTTTGTAAAGAAGTAAAAACCCAAAGAAAAAGTGAAATGGCTCAAAAGATTATCTAATATGATGAGTGATGTCATGAATTGATGATTATCTTCCTCATACTGTGTTCAGCAATGTTCAGTATATGCCACATGTACATACTGTGTTAACCAAGTCCAATGTCCAGGTCAAATGAATAGTCCCATCACTCCCTAATCATGACCCAAATTAAATTAAGGAAATAAATTAAGTGTATACATATATACAAAGTACAACAATATGACTTGTTTGATGTTGCTGAAACTGAAAGATATTTGTGATAAGTCCTCTAGTCCAGGAAATGTGTCATTATTGTTTTAATGTATGGAGCTTGTGATACATTCTCTAAATATAGTCTTTCTTAGTTGTTAATTATTTTTAAGTGCTGTTGACAAATAAATGTGATGCCTGGGTTATTTCACATCCAATAGTTGACCTAGGTGATAGCAAGGTAAATATTAGGATCATTGATTGTCAATGTTTTATTGATTATTTCCTTTTCAAACTCTTGCCAAGTTAATGTACAATAAATCATGTGAATAAAGATGTACAACTCAATTGATCCCAATTTAAAACAACAACAACATATATTACAGGAACAAAATCATTATGCATGTCTTCCAGGGCACTCCCTTGTCCTATTAGCTGTTGGATCAGATTCATTTGCATGGGATCAGTATATGGAAAGTTTTGTGAAAATAGGCAAAACTGCTGAAGTTAAATCGAGTCTGGACCAGACAATCCAGCGATTAATATCATGAGCATCGATCCACACAATTGGGTTCGATGACATGTATCAACCAAGTCAGCGAATCTGACAACCCAATCCCGTTAGTCGCCACTTACGACAAGCATAGTCGCCTTTTAGGGCAAGCATGGGTTGCTGAAGACCTATTCTACCCCAAACCCCTATGTGCATGAACTCTGATATTGTTTTAGAGACAGTATTTGCATGACAGGTCTTATCGGTACAGTATTTGTTTGTTTCTATGTGCAAGAAATATCCGTAGCTTCAGAAGAGACACTACTCTACACCCTGATTTCTATCATCGTCAGGGACATTACAGAATGTATCATCCTGTGTCATGTCAGTGTCAATTCAGAACTTCCAATGTAACAACAAGATTCCTGTGTGAAATTGCTACACTGCTTTTGACTGATGTTTTCGCCCCAAACCCTTTTTGTCTATGCAGGTTGTGTGTGTAGGGGGCTGAAAGCCTTTAGACTTGTTGAGTGCAGTTTAGATTGTCACAAAAGGAAACAAAAAGAAAGAACTATTTGTTTTAGGACAAACCAAAAGACCAAAAATGAACAATATATACATGTGCTTGTGTGTGGGGGTGGGGTGGGGTGGGGTGGGGTGGGAGGGTTTGCCAGGCCCTTGGCAATCTGAAGCACTGTACAGTGAAAATGGCACGTTAATAGCTCTTTCTTATTAAGTCAGTTATCAATAGCATTAAGCACAGGACCATGTAACTAATAATAATAATAAACAAACTCGGACACAAAACTCCTAGACAACCTCGAAGGCCGAGTGATCAGATGTTGATAAGATGCCTCCAGTTTTGAATTCATGCCAAGTTGGAACTGAAGTGGTGAACTTGTTTTAGTTTTCATCAAGACATGGCCCACCCAAATAAAATGTACAAAGAAGTAAATGTCGTCTTCACCAGAGTGGTTGTTGCGATAAACATGTCATTTGACAAGATAACATTCTGGATACATGCTCAGTATCTGTACACATGACATGTACCAGCTGTGCTCCACTGAATCCAGCAGGACACATTGCCATGGCTGATCAACGCTGCCTGAGCAGACACAGCTAGTTTTGTCAATGTTTTCTCTGCATGTTTGTACACAGAAATCTTCCAGCTTCCCAATGAATTTCCTGTTTCAGGAGATGACCTAGTTAACAGCCTCCCTTTTAAGTATGTCACATGATAATTTCTCCTCAACAGCCATTATTCTCATGTTACTGACAAGCATGTTCCCATGTGCACCCCCAGTGTTGGGATGCAGCCCCCAGCTGGTTGTGGTGGACTGTACTCACTGAACCCAGGCTCCTCTGGGTACAGGGCCTGGCAACGGGGTAGAAACCACAAAATGGTGTGTTTAGCGTTTGTTTCATAATTATGACATGGAGAGAGCTTGTAGTTCCAATAATTTTGTTAAATTGTTTTGAAATGTGTGCTGATTGTGGAAGCTCTACATTGACTGTAAATGATTTATTTTTATTGATGTTTTATTTTGAAGTTACATTAAGTCTGATATCGATATAATTTTATTGAGACCATATTGATGATTACCATGATTACTCCTTTAAATCTACATGCAGGGGTAGCCTCGTGGACAAAGACAGGTTTTGATTCTTCACATTGGTACAATGGGTAAAACACATTCTTGGTGTCGCCCCCATCATTTGACTGAAATATTCCCAAGAGCAATGTTAATCTACAGCAGTGTAAATTGGCACTAACCTGCTTGACTGAGTTAGCTTGCCTGATGTTAAAGGTATCCTGGGCCCTAGGGCTAGTAGAATTTCAGGTTATACTTAGGGGTCGTCCTTACCGGAAAGTAAGTATCACTAACCAGACCAGTAAATATTTCAGGTTAAGTTTCTACCATGAATCTCACTCTAAAAATCTTCATGACAATCAATATTCAAATTTAGTGATGACTTTCATGGTTATCTCCCTTGGTTGGTTGTCTTCATTTGACACTATATTAACACATGCTACTGAAGTTGATGGTTTTTTATCTGATACCTATGTTGTCACACAGGAACACAGTTTGATTCATCGTTGTTTCAAACATAGCCATGTATGACTAGTTGATGTTTACCTGAAATTTTGGTACTGATAGCTGTCTAGCGGTCTCACATAGTGCATGGTCAGATACTGGTTTGGGGTCTTGGCTGTGCTGGAAATCATAGCTATATCCTGTACTCCTTCCTCCATCTTCCCAAGGCAAGGGAGTTAACTGACTTCAAAAGTCCAGTTACCACCCTTGCTGAACTAGTCTGGAATTCCTGGGCTCGATTGTAGCGCCACCAGTGGCTATTACGAGTTATGTCCCTTCTATGCATCTGCTATGGACCAATCAGATTCAACCCCTGATATCACTTGCATTTGCTTTAAACAAAATGGCGGCACCCAGTCAAGATGATCTGATCGATAATCAAGATCTATATTGTGATAAAACGGATCTTACATCAAGTCACGTGAGCACCTTGATTAAAAACATGAAAAGATCTGGAAAATATCTGTTGACACCGAGTTGGCGGTGCACAATTGCTTTGCAAATCCTGCAATCGACCAAAATCTGCATGACAGTTTACGAACCAGATTTCGATTTCATTGCATGATTTTGATTTGACTGTGCATAGACACGTTCGTCCAGCCAAAATGTAACTCCATAATACAAGCCTAGTTCGGCAAGGGTGAAAACTGGACTTTTATAGTCAGTTAACCCTCTTGCCTCGGGAAGATGTTTTGGTTTGGTTCCGTTTGTTGTTTTACGCCGCACGCAGCAATATTCCAGCTATATGACGGCGGTCTGTAAATAATCAAGTCTGGACCAGACAATCCAGTGATTGATATCATGAGCATTGATCCACGCAATTGGGATTGATGGCATGCTTCAACCAAGTCAGCGAGCCTGACCGCCCGATCCCGTTAGTCGCCTCTTACGACAAGAATGGGTTGTTGGACACCTATTTAACCCGGATCTTCACGGATATACGGAAGATGTCCTTCCTCAGACACTGGAACAACCTTGTACACATCACTGATAGCATATTTGTTTCTGTACTTTCACTTGACATGCTGGATGAATGATATGTGGCAGCTGAATGGCTTCAAAGTATATAAGGCATTGAACATCTACAAGGACAAGTTTGTATTCACAAACAGTTTCTATCCGTACAATTGAGGTGACATTTTTGTGTAGATTCTGACACCTTTATTTCGCAATGACTTAATTGACGAAGGAGCAAAATTCTACCTGTAAATATTGCATCAATTGTAATAAAGAAGTTGTTTATCCAAAGGAGCTTGTCCTTGTTGATGATGCCAATTTGAAAATGCCACTCAAAGAAGATGCCTAACATATGTTTTTGAGAGGACTGAAACATGGTACATTGGATTTCCTTTACGGTCATTTCCTTTTTACTGATTTTTTTGTCCATGAAAGGAAGACATGTACAGTACAGAACACAGTTATAAGTACTGTAGGGTGTTGGGGCTGTTCATAGTATTTCTATACATAAATCTTCCACTCTCGGTCTAGTAGTAGACACGACTACCCTTTTAACAAG